TACTCGTTTACTTGTTTGAAACAATAAATAATTACCAAAGCTGCAGGATTTTTCGACTCTTGAGTCTAGAAAAATATTTACGATCATAGTATTATGTAAATCACTTTGAGCCGCATAAGTACTTCTTTTGCCTATAAAACTATGTCTTAGTCGCTAAAGAACAATTGAGAAAATGACACTCGTAAATTTTGGCATGGGGCGTTTCAGGAAACGACCAAATTGCTTCCATCAATGCGCATTGTAACAAAGTAACGAACCTTTCTGGATGACAATATATCTGTTCTACCATCTCTTCCATATCCTTTTTTCCATTCTCCCGAGCTCTATTTTCTTTTCGATTGAATAAAATAATAATGAAGAAATAAAAAGTTTTTTAATAATTCAATGAAAAATTTATAAAGTAATATACTTCGTATTAACCGTATAATAGTTGGTTTTTCAAAGTTTGGAAAGCAATTCCCAGGTCATAAATCAAACTACCACATATATTCTGATATTATGGTCACCATATTATTATTATAATAAAGTGTGTGTTAGAATTTTATTGTTAGTGTTTGATTAATCATGTATTATATTTGTATTTATATTTTTTGATCATTTTTATCAGAGTACACATACATAAATTACAAGGTCGCAATCCGCACACACATACATTTCATTTAACATACGACCCAACCGAGATAGTAAACTTCTATTCGCTGGTCTGTTTTATAAACAAAACTATATATAATACTAACTATAACTAATAACGTTTTATCTGCTTATGATCAAGTAGTATATAGCACCATTAGATCACGCAGGCATCTAAGTATTGTAATAATCTTCTTTATCAGTATCTGATTAGTATCGATTTTAATTTGTGTAATGTTTGATTGTAATGAAGGCCTGATAAGGCTAGAGACCAAACTAACGAAATGTGCGTAATTGAAATATATGTGGTAGATTGATTTATGACCTGTGGGTTGCTTTCCAAACTTTGAAAAACCAGTTATTACATAGCTAATATGAAAAGTATTTATGAGGAATTAGCATGTCTTTAAAAATTAGGAATATGAATAGTGCTTATCCTAGGTAACATTTATCCTATTCATACGTCTTATAATGTGATTTTCTAATGATAAAAAATTAAGATTACATTTACTAATGAATTTGCACTGATATTCACGTTAAAGGTAAAAACAAAGTGATCGATCAGTTATGCGTGGGGGTGACTTTTATCTATCAATACGGATTTAGGTCATCATTGATTCGAAATGCTATTAAATTTTGAGTAGTTTTCTAGTGTCAGCTGTGGACAAATTTTACGTGTTAAATAGCTTAACAAATATTTTGTTTCGTGTTACTTATAAGATGAGTTTTTATTTAAAGAATTTATGAAGTTATTATAAATATAGGAACGTAAAGTATTTAATTGTTTGTAGAAATAAAAGTACACGAATAGTTCAATGACCAAAGTTTATAAGAGATCAGAATCTAATTTGTTTCCACTTGATTACGTTTCATCAATATCAAACAATAAGAATAATTCTTAAAGACATGAAAAGATTCGAAGAAGTGGAAATATTTGAATAAAAATTAATTGAATGCGATTTTTTAATCTATAAAGACCAATTATTAATCATTTAGACTAGTCATTTCTTATTGATATGTTCTTTGTTCAAATGTTATAAAGAGTACAGATTATCTAAGTCCAAAATAACTGCTTTATCTGATGAGAACTAAAAAATACTTGAAATATATATATAAAAAAATAACAAAGAAAGTAATTCAGATTGTCTTTTTTTCGAATATTTTTATCGGTTTATTGGCTTGATGGCTTATTAAATTATTTATTTATTTATTATGGTTTATTTATTATTCTATAGTCGGTGTTAAAATAGTAAGTAGATACATATACAGGTAAACACGAAGCAAAAAAAAAAAGGCTAGAGTTCGAACTCGAGTGCAAAAGAGATGGAGTATAAAGGCTTTAGAAGCTTGCTATGCGCTCGTAGGGCTCGCTGGATAGAACAGCGTATAATTAGATAAGGTATAAGACATATTTGGATCTCGGCCACGTTGGCCAACTGCCAGGTTTACCCTTGCAGTCCCTAAAGTCTCGAAGAAAAGAATAGAGTATGTAATGCCTTCTCTCCTCTTTGTGAGAATGTGCACGTGTGTGACACGCACACTCGTGCACACACATACAAAGTTCAGTGCTTGTGCGCGTATAGGCCATATATTTTTGATTGTGTATATATAGGCTAAATTATCGTGCTTTATAAAATCTCCGAAAGAGTCGACGATAAGCCAGCTTTTGTTGCCAAAGAAAGCTTGCTGCTTGCGTAAGTAGATGCATTGTTAGTAGCAGTAACAGCCGTGAGGCAGTGATTAAAATAAGTAGTCTCCAGGGTTATTTAAGGGCGTCCTGAGAGCGAAAGAGAAAGAGAGAGAAAGCAAAAATAGCAGCGCTCACAGCGCGCTGATGAGAGATAAGGAATCACTTTGGAAAAGCAATCGGTGCGCGCTGCCAGCAAAGTTATTTACAAATTCAAGTAGTTGCCCAGGCTTGCGATAAACGCCACATTGAACAGCTCTGAAATTGAGGTTTCAAGTTCCAGCGCTAGTGACACGCTTTTTTACAGTCTAATACAATTTTATTCCTCTTTTTCGAAATCTTCCAATAAAGACTTTTTCTTTCGAATCGCGTGAGTTGCTTTTTCTCGGCAATGACGTCATATACAGTTGATTCCAATTATCTCTCTCGTTCTGTAGGCTCGACTTTTGCTGGCGAAAAATCAAAGTTTTAATTCAGTCTTAAACAGAGCTCTAGAGCTCGAGCCTGCAATTACGAAAGTTTGGTAATTGGGAGTGCCGAATATGTATAGACAGCCTCGCAGGCTCGGCGAGCGGAGGTTCTCTGCAAGCTGACTACCAAAAATAAGCTTGAGTTTCTCAATTTTCAAATATTCTTTTTTTTTCGTTCTCTTGATTAAAAGACATAACATTTTTAAACGCACCAAATTGAAACCATTTCAGTGCTTTTATTCATATCGGATTTACAACTTGGCCTTACTACATGGTACTGCTAAATAGATCTCTTGAAGGTGTATTTTGAATTGTAAACACTCGAAAAGTTCAGAGTACGAGAATGTCGTAAAACTTCATTCGTCGTTAGTGCGCCAATAACAAACAGCTGGCGAAGCTAACTAGCGGGAGAGCAAAAAATAAAAAGAAACTAGAGAGAGAGAGAGAGAGAGAGAGAGAGAGAGAGAGAGAGAGAGAGAGAGAGAGAGCGAAGGAAAAGCAGAGGACGAGAAGGAGCAAGAGAAGAAATGAGAGCGAGGAAGTCGAGTGTCGTGTAACTATGTACGCGATCGCGGATAAAAGTTTTGCTAGGCGATCTGGTCGTGGATCGGTAGAGCCGAAGTGAGTTTACAGCGTACACTTAAAAGCGTCGACACCGTAGATAGCGCGAGCGAGCGAGAGAAACGGAAACAATTAATAGACCAGCACGCTAACGACCCCGTGGAGTTTGATTCGTCCATAAATCCCAGGTCCTCGTTCCGCACTTTTACGGTCAATTCTCGTGAGTTACGATGACTGGAGAACTAACTCTCTACGGCGAACATACACACATATACTCTGGAGAAAGAACAGCAAAGCGCGACCCGTTGCCCCCTTTATTTTTGCCACAGTGCGAAGCCTTTGCGTTCGATATTTCGATTTTTCATTTTGCAAGATGTCGCCGGCAATAAAAGTAAATCTTTAGCGTAAAAGCGTCTTGTCCGGCTTGCGCTCATAATGTTTTGATTTACGAACGCTCACTCGGCACGATCTCTTGCTTTCTTTCTCTCCCTTTCTTAATCTCTATTTTCATTGTCATTATAATAAATGAATGTTGCGAGCGTCTTCAACGTTCAATCCTTGTGATAAAATATTTTTATCTCTGCTGTTTTCTACTGTGGCATACGAGTAATTCGAATACTATTTCAAATATGAAACAATGTCTACCTAGTATATCATTTAAGAATCCTTACATTTCTAATTTATTTATTTTTTATCTCATATGATTAGTTTTATAAATATTCTATATAGCGTACAAACATATAATCACATTATAAAAATCATTTATGAGCATTCATAGCTATCTGATAAAGAATGTTGTTATTAAAGTCGAAAGATTCTCAATTTACACTGATTTTTCATCTAGATAGATAAACTATATCGCCATATTCTTAAAGAGCATGAAATTTCCTGTCGAGTATTATATGTCTCAATTTTCTATTTACAAATATTATGTGAAAAAAACTGGATGAAAGTCAGTAGAAATTAATAAAAATTTGGCCTTACAGGAATAATTTATAAATTATTACAAGCAATTGAAATTCAGTTAATTTATTAATAAAGCTTGATGTAATAGTAGTAAAATTTCCGAAAACAATAATACATATTTATTTATTTATTCACCAGAGTCAATAAACGTAGATTATATAGTAACAAAATATATACCTATACATTACAAAATAAGTAACGCAGCAGAGGAAATACATGTTTACTATCTGTAATATATTTATATCGAATTTATAATTAAAACAATGTCTCTATCTGCCTATGCTCCAGTAAATTAATACTACTGAATTAAGTAGACAGGTAGAAAATTCACGTATGTAGTTTAATTTTTATTCTTTATCAGAATTTTATAAGCATCGCTTTTGTAGCGGTAAAATGTTACATATTTGCATTCCTATCTCTTGCATAAATGATTTTTTCTATGTTATTTGTCATGCCGAACATATGGATTCCACAACACAAGTAACTTTGTAGTGAGAAAATATTGATCTATGTTGAAAAGTTGAGTCACAAAGACAAGCTGCAGTAAAGAATATGACTAAAAATAATTTTGAAAAGTTTAGTAAATTTCATCGCAATCGCAATTCATGAAAAATTAATATTTATTCAATTAATTCGTGTGCCAGCTAGAAGAAGTAACTAAATAAGAAACTATGATTGTGTTGCAGAGAGCCTGAGGGAATACTTTTCCAAGTACGGCGACATCACAGAGGTCATGGTCATGAAAGATCCAACAACGCGACGATCAAGGTAAGTTATTGACGTATCTTATGATTGTAATTAAAGGGAAAGCAGCTTGGAGTTTCCTATCTCTCTCCGGTATTTTCAATTGAAAAACGACATCGCGCATGGCAATATCAGCTTTGCGCACTGTGCTTAATTAAAATGATAGTGCGGTGTGTAAATGAACTACTCCGTAGAACTAAAACGGAATTGCTTCTATATACGGCTCCAAATGAACGCGTCAACGTACATAACCTGAATTCGTTGTAAAATTACTACTCTGACATTATTTATTTGTACTGTTTCATTAAAGTTTCCAACAATTTAACATTGCACTTTGCACTCTAAATAAAATCAGTCTTAATTTTTCTTAAATCTCAATATTAAGTTCACGACATAGCGTGACGTCGGTTTCGACGACACGTTTAATTACTCTGTTTTCGGTCTGCACTTTCGGTGCAATAAAACCGGGATCCAACGTGTGCTTGTTGTTACTAGAGGGTCGAAAAGCCTGACGGCACGGATTGTGGAACCTAACTTTCTCTACTAGATGTAGCTCTATCCCAGACATTTGCAAGGCCGAACTTACAACTACACTTTGTCCCAGATGCTTGCATAACCAATATAGAGTGAAATTAAGTAATTAATGGGACAGGTTATCCGTTCGCGAACTAAATAACGAAAAAGTAGAAAGATAAAATATTTATGAAAATTACTTTTATTAATATAGCTATTTGTTGTTAGTTTTTCTACAATAAAGTTTTTCACCGATTTTAAGAAATTCTATCAAAGTTTGTAGGAGTGACCGCCGAAAATACGAAAATGAAATGTGTCGGGCTTCTAGGTGACATTGTAGTTCCTATGTGTAAGTAGAGTAAGTAGGTTTTTTTTATCTACGATCGGCATTTCTCCTTTGAATCTTCGAGCTTCTCTGCAGTTCAGAATAACAATCGCGTTAAGATTGTCTAATGATCTTGATAGAATTCCAAATTACTCAAAGCGGCGAGGAAATCGATTGATAATTGACGAGAAATGCAGTCGGCTTTAAAATGCATGGGTGTATATGTAATTAAGTTAAACCCTTTTCCCGAAAGATGATTCAATCTGTATTGATAAACTTATAAAACATTTAATTAATCAATAATATACAAAGCTTTATGCCTTATACATAATATAATTCAACGATACAATGTTGGTTATAATTGATAATTTCATATTCGAAATTGAGAGAAAGAGAGAGAGAGAGAGAGAGAATACAATGACTGTAAACGACAGAATTTCATAAAAACTAGTCTTATAATTCTTTTTTTCACGTTGAAAATCGATATCATATTCACTCATGTCTAAAAATATAAATAAATTGGTTGATGCAATTGTCTCGTCTGGCTTTGTCCTCAATTTTATAGATTTAATAGTCTAGCTCTCTACAGAAGAGTGGGTTTTTGTCATATATTTTTATATTTAAAAGGAAGAATATAACGATCCAAATATTATCCAAATATTAATTTGCTGTCAGAATAGTATTACATTGCATCGTATTCGACACAAAAAACAATTCAACAGAGAAATGTTACCCTTAAAACCGTGTACAATGTTCTAGCACTGAAAAAGCTATTTCGAGTTGTATTTGAAACATGAGAATTGGCAATAACCCATACCACCGCCCCGGGATGTCACGGAAATTTGAGACTTCCTTTTTTCGTGCCTCTCTGTCACTTTCCCTTGGTCGTACTATAAACGATGTTCGATCCGGAAAACCGCGCCGAGAAGTGATTGACGTATGAAGGCTAGAGTCGACTCTCTAAAAACATTATTGCCGAGTCATCTCGTAAATAACTTAACAGTTTCTATTCACGCTTAGCGCATGCTTAGTTATGACGGAATTCTCTTCTAGAGTAATTTTGTCCTATTATTTTGTTTTTACAATTTTCATAACTTACGATGAATGGAAAACTATTTGATCAGTAGGGTTTTTGTGCAAACTTTATATCAATTTTATGAAGCCGGTACAACATAACATTCAAGATGATAATTTAAAAGGTCGACATACTCTGTTATGAAATCTCAATGTTGTTGCCCTCGTAAAATGTTTGTTTCGCACACAGTGAAGTTGACGCTTTCTGGGTAGGAATGGGGGGAGGGGGGGGGGGGGGGGTTTACAAATTGTAGTATAAAAGAAAGTTGATGTGTATAAAAACGCTATTTGGCCTTTGCATCTTAAACGCGCTTGGCAGGGATTTCACGTCTTGCTCGCGCTTACAAAAGTTATATACCGGACAAGTACAAAGCGTCAGACATAAGACAACTGAGTTCTGTCTCTCGAGTTATAAAGCAGTACTAGGATGCGGCGGCAGTGGCGGCAACATAGCGCAGTTCGTTTCCCACTTATTAAGCGGAAATAAAGTTCGCGGCGTCAAAGCCCCCATGACTTCCTCTTTCCTTTCATTGTCTTTTCCCCACTCGTCGTCGTCTTCGGCGTCTCCAGTTCTTCTTCAACAATTAGGAGTTTTGTCTCGCTCCCTACCCGCGTGTTTCTGTCGCCGGCATTTAGCCTGCAAAGCATTACAAACGACGCTTGAGCTCTCTATATTCGCGGACATTATTCAGGTTTCCGACGCTAATTGAAATTCGAAACTTGCGATTTAAGCCCAAGCATTTCACCCTTAGAAATGCTTGGAATACTTTAACGCTTTGCGTGCTCATTGTTACTCTAGGAAACTCGTTGCCAAATCAGATTCGTTGTCGCTTCTGGATAAATAGGGCGCATTGTTTGGTGGAAACCTGATTTTTCGTAGGCACACTCCTGGCAGTAATTGCGACGGCGATAGCGCGTACCTGCTGCTCGGCAAAAATAGTGAAATAGCCCCCCTGGAGACATTACACAGCTTGGCAAGCACTCGGTCACTCGCTCGCACGAGCATGCGCGAGGGATCCGTGCTGTGTACGCTCAAGTTCACGCGCGCCATACCTGTCATTATTTTATTACCGTAATTACCGTGAACGAGTCGCCGCTCTGCGCACGTGAGTAGGCGTTCGATACGCCATCGACCATTTTCGCAACTCGGCACTCTTTCTTTTCTTTCTCTCTTTACGTCTCTTTAACGTGCAATTAAGACACCGCCTGATTTGAAGAGTGCAAATAACAATGTTGGCTTTGCCGCCATCTTAATTTATAGCTCGCATCCAAATCAGAAATAACGTATGATTCTCACTTGACTTGTAGTATGAATAGACTGGAGCAAATTGCTCTGATTGTCGGAGCTCTATTTGTGAATCGAGGACACTGAGTCAAAACAATTTTTACACGTTTTATTCCTGTAGCCAAGCAAACTGTCGACCTGAACGGAAATACCCACTGCAACATTGATTCTAGAAGCATACTTGAATCTCTGTTCTGCAAATTGAAATGGCATTTAAGCAATTGTAAAGAAGCGAGCGCCGCAAAGAGGGTGCAGTTTACTACCTCGGCACAAAGCGAGAGACGGTGGCAAACAAAAATAGGCCATCGATCAAAATGATTATCCTCTGAGCAACCCTCGTTCTCCGAGCGATGCGGCAACACCCATCTCTTTTCACTTCTGAAAGGATCGAGAGAGGGGTGCGCGTGAAAGGGTTGGCTTTTGCGTAGCAACCGGTGCACGCGTACGATCCCCTTGGTGCTCCCACTCTCTCTCTCTCTCTCTCTCTCTCTCTCTCTCTCGCGTAGATCATATCTCTCCGGTGGTGCGCGCAAAGGGACGCGTACGCGTGGAGAATCCGCGGTGACTCTGCGGCTTGTAAATTAATGGTCAGCGCACTTCTCTCTCCAAGGGCCCTGTCTGGGCTCGCTCCTCTTCCTCGCTCACTTGCCTTGCTTGATCTATAGGCAGCACACGTCTATGGGACACGACGCTCTCCCTCTCTCCCTCTCTCTCCTATGTGACATGGGCTGCGTATGCAGCTAAAATATGCTTTGTGCGCGAGAGCGACCAATTAGCCGGGAGCGTCACGTCGGCAAGAATGTGTGAGCGTTAAAATGCACTTGAATTACTATGCGCGCGGGGTGCTCGCATTGGCGTTATCTTCAGCTATTGTGATTAATTTGGCTTTTCTACTTGTAGAGATTTCATCAGTTCTTCAGATTTCAAATACTTATCTAATTTACGATAATAGCACACGTAATAATATTTGCAGCGCTTGTGCCGGCTAATTTAATAGCGAGCATTCAGCGAGAAATGATTTGCTAAGGAGCATAAATAACAAACTGTAAGGTCGTTATCGACAGTCTGTTGACTAGTAGGGACAGCTTATTGAGGAAAATGTACGCGTAGCACGGCTCTGGTTTTCTCTTCAACGCGTCTCCAGTTCTTGCACAAAAAACCTCCGCTAATGAACAAACTATCTCTCAAGAGACCCGACGAGCTTGTCGTTAACTATTCTCAATTACCAGAGCCGCAGTCTCGAGTTAACGTGCTGCACGTATTTCCAACTGTAAGTTAAACAGATTCTTGGAGAATTTGCATCGTAGTTTACCTCCCTTTTTCTCTTCGCTTCTGCAGTATGTACTCGTATAGCAGTTGTGAATAGCCAGCGCGCTATCAAGTCTAAATCGTTAAGACCGCCGCCCCGTTACATTCAAGCTGCACTGATTAACGAGTGAATAAGTCAATTTTTCAATCTATTACTACTAAACTTGGCAAATTTAAAGGCTGAATTAGCGACAAATTAGTGCCTCTATTAGGAATTACATTACAGTCGGAGCAATTAAAACGTCTGTCAAAAGATAAAAGTCGCGCGAGCACTATCTACGCTACGTGAATAACGTAGCAGAGAAGAAGGGGCGAGAAAGGGAGAGAGGACTTCAAAAGCGAAGAAGAAAATTCAAAGGGAGAGAACATTCGAGCCGATAATTTTCCGACCGAGAGTGTTACAATCCGTTAATTCGATCGTAAATTATATTTAGCGAGCAGCGCGCGGGTACAATTTAGTTGGAACTCGACTTGGGCCAATAATTACCAGAGGTCTTCACCAAGCAGTCCTTGAGAGCA